AGCCAGAGAGAGAGAGAGAGAGGGAGAGAGAGAGAGAGAGAGAGAGAGAGAGAGAGAGAGAGAGAGAGAGAGAAAGAGGTTTGGAAGTGACCCCAGAGACACAGGCTCCTATGTGGTCTTTGGTGAGACTCCAGGGTGAGGACTCTTTCAGTCCTGTTCCTAGGACTCAACTTTCATGCCCTTAAAGAACTTTCAAAAGCTGGAGGCTATTCTACAATGGCCACTCTCTCTTTTAATGCCAACAAAGGGTCTGGAGGCATGGCTCAGGGAGTCCAGAGCTAGCCACTGAGCAAGGCTCAGTATGAACACATACTTTTCAGGTAGGGAGTTCCAGTCCCACTCAGGCAAAAATAAAATAAAACCCCAAAACAATGAGAAGGAATGGCTACTGATTTGAAAATTCTTCCCATCAGCCTTGAGTGTTCTCTAAGTACCACTGGAAACCCCAAGATCAAAACAGAGCTGGGGATCTTACTTTTCTAGTTGGAAGGTAATGTGAATTTAAATCACAGCATGTCTCTTTTCTCATATTTATACTCCAATTCCCTCACCAGCCACAGAAGTGGGGGGGGGGCAAGCTTGAGTGTTCAAAATCTGTTATTAGCTGTGAGGCTGGGGGCAATGTACTTCTTAAAGGTGCACATGTTCTGAATAAAATGAGACAATAGTTCCAGAGTTCTATGGAATTATTGGTATTAAATGAGAGATGTGTGTATAGCATGGCATATTCTGGCACATTTTGACTCACTACAGACACTTAAAGAAAAAAGATATGATCTTAATTTAGCCATATATATATATACACACATTTATAACATCTATAACATCCATATATATGGATATATGTATGTATATATCCATATATATGGATATATGTATATTCATATATCCATATATATAATGTGTATAAAAAGAGAAGGGGAGGGAGGGATAAACCTTTAGTTCATATAAACTTAGCCATATTTTGTTTTCTTTTCAGCCAAAATATGCACAATCTTTGAAGCTTTTCTTCTTTATACCTTCTATCAAATCAACTATAGTAAAAAGAATGACTACATTACATATCTCTGAATTTTAATCAGTGGACTGATGAGATCAGTCACATTATGAATGTCTGGGGTATGCTGATCTCCTAGGCCCTCCAAGTTCAGTTTTATTTCTAAGGTTTGTCGTCTTTTACTTCATTTTCTAGTGGGAATAAAGTGTCCCTCCCTTATCTTCTATGAACACATACTTTTCAAAGAAAGCAGGGTTCTTATGAGTAAAAAAAAATACGTTCTTCAATTTAAAGAATGCATTTAACCTCTTTTACGCTTTTTCATAATTGCAATTTTAAAAGAAAAAATTTGCAAGCTCAGCACCCTATAAAAAGAAATGATCAATTTAAATTGTTCACAGCCGTATGAGAATTCATCTAATCCAGAAGGCATGAAAATGATTTACTTCTAACAGTCTCAGAAGGCCCAAGTAAATTAGCCTGTTTCCTCTACTGACCTAGATAAGTATGGTCTTTAGGGGGAGTGCTTAGCTTTGCAAAAAGAAACAAAATTCCACTCCAACATTAGTCTTCTTTATTCTGGGGGATAAGCTAGCCAGTTCCGTTCTAGAACTTCCTCTTTTCATTTTGAATGTATGTAGTTCATTAAAGTCTTTCACTCTGGGGCAATCTTAATCTTCCCCTTTATGATATCAACTTCTACTTCTGTTACTTTCTCTGTCCTTCCCTTGAAATGAGCCTATGCGTACTCCGAGAACCTCAATGTGATGTTCAAGGTCTGCTCCAAGTGGGTACTTTTTCTATCATCCTAATAGAAGGATAATATTGCAAAGGAAGGTCTTTAAATGTGCTTTTTATTTGGTGTCACAAAAAAGATCAACAGCATTGGAATGTAAGAGCTCCACAGATCTAAGACAGTGGGAACTGTTTACTTCAAACAGAACGAATGCCATTCTCCTTCCCTCTGCCCTTCTTCTCACTCTATCCTCAGTCTACTAAGAGCCCTTGCTGGACAAAGACCCCAAGTGACAGCCACTTCCCTAAACCCTTCTCAGAAAGAGGAAGCTATCAGCCTAAAAAAAACCAAACCAAAAAACCAAACAACCAAACAAACAAAAAGAGCTGTGCTTTTCAAAAGCACCTACAAAAAGTATGGACCAACCCCCTGGATGTTACAAAGATTAAGGGAATCATATGACCTTATCAGGGGTAAGGCGTGCTGTTAAAAACGGTTCAGAACTGTTGTGGAAGTTAATATATAGGGCTTTTACAACAAGACTGAGTATTTTGGAGAAGCATTGGCTTGCCTAATTTGTCAGACAGGAAACTCATTCCCCCTCCTCTTTCTCTTCTCTCGTCTGGGGTCACCCTGCAAGCCAGTCTTCAGCGAGTAGACAAAACATTCCTTTATTTTGGCAGAGGAAGGTACTAGGGTTTGAACTCAGGCTCTCCCTTTCTAGGTTTGCTTTCCAGTTATTGTTCAGGTAGAGTGTTAAAGGACTTCACCCAGTCATCTGCCTGCCCATAGCATCCTGTGTGACTGAGAACACAGGAACACCTTACCACATTCAGTTTCTTGATGGAGATAGGATCTTGCTAATTTTTTCTTTGAATTGGCCTCAAACGGTGATCTTTGCCTCCCAAAGATGGTACTAATAGGTAGGAGTTGCTGTTCTAGCCCAATCAATTCTTTAAAGAGGTAAATCGTATGTCTAATCTGTGTTGCATTTTCCCAAAGCTTCTATTGCTCTAAGACAAACAGCTAAGCTTGTCCAGGAAGTCTTTGGTTCATCTTTGTGAGCCCTTCTCTAGACCTTAGCTCTGTCCTTCTTATCTGTTGTTCTGTTCCTGTGACCACACCGATTGTCTCACCACAGGACCTTTGCTCTTGCTGCGTCCGCCATGAACCTGTTTCTGTGATGGCAGCACTAGCAGCTACTATTCATTTGGATCCATCTCTAATGACACCCCAAAGCCATTCCAGCATCCCTCCTTCACGTTCTGTATTCAAAAAGTGACAGCAGTGCTTCCAAGGACCTGAGTCTGAAGAAGAGGTCACTGGGGACACAGGACAGAGTACACAGTGGAGCCAAATTTTGTAACCTGCACACATCCAAAAACTTGAGGCACATGTCAGTGAACAGTTAACTTTGAGTTGTTTTCAGTGTTCTTGTGGATTTTTCCTTTTGTCTTTTCTTTCTTTTGTTTTTGTCGGTCATGGGGCCTGAACTCTGGGCCTGGGTGCTGTCCCTCAGCTCTTCAGCTCAAGGCTAGTGCTCTACCACTTGAGCCACAGCGCCACTTCTGGCTTTTTCTGCTTATGTGGTGTTGAGGAATCGAACCCAGGGCCTCATGCATGCAAGGCAATACTCTACCACTGAGCCACCTTCCCAGCCCTCTTGTGGATTAGTTCTATCACCTCAGTTTGATGAGCCAATAGACTGGTCATTACCAGTTCAAACCACCTCTTTTAAGCACAGGAATCCTATGCTCTAAAACTTACTGTTCAGCCAGGTTCCAGTGACTCAGGCCTGTGAGCTTAGCTTAAGAGGCTAAAAAAAGGATAACAGTTCAAGACCAACCTGGGAAGAAACGTTTGCCAGAAGAACTTTTTTCAACCCATAGCTTGGTACAGAACCCATGCCTGCCATTGTAAGTTATGTGGGAGGTCGAGACTGCGAGGGTAACAGTTCCAGGATAGCCCAGGGAGGAAAAGTCCACGAGACTTCAGCTTGAAAGAAAGAAGCTGACTGTAGTGGTACGCACCTGTCATCCTAGCAGTCCTAAAATAGGTGGATCATAATCCAGGCCCTTGAATTCAAACTCTATTACCATCAAGAAATTAGAGAAAGGAGGGAAGGAAGGAAGGAAGGAAGGAAGGAAGGAAGGAAGGAAGGAAGGAAGGAAGGAAGGAAGGAAGGCAGGCAGGCAGAGAGAGAGAGAAAGAAAGAAAGAGAAAGAAAGAAAGAGAGATAAGGAAAAAGAGAAGGAAAGAGTGGAGGAAAGAAAGAAAGAGAGAGAAAGAAGGAGATTGCTATTTGCACAGTTCATTCAGTTCATATATCATTAAATCATTAATGCACATCTCCTCTTCACCAGAAATTCCCCCAGGATCCAGAGGATTCTTCGAAATAGTCCCAGCCCTTTGGGGCTTTTCACTTCGGCTGGAAGCCAGGCAGTAAATATGACCCTACTCTATGGAGGTGATGTTTGAAAAGAAGCAGAGCCAAGTCACTTTCCTCAAGGCCTTTGGTTCCCAAGAACCAAGGGAAAAGTGAACTGTTTGTCTTCCCTTTGCTAACTTTTACACGTCACTTCTGCGGAGCTGATTTGGCCTTAGGCGCTGCAGAGTAAAACTATTTAACACCAGTGGAACATGGAATGTGGTAGAGAACGCACTCAGAAACACTTGGGCCCTGCTCGCCCGCCCACGTCCACCTGTACTGCATACTGAAAAGGCAGCTCCCGACGGAATGAGGGAAGGATGGATTCACTTTAAAACTTAATTCAAAGCCAGACACCAATGGTTCAGGCCTGTCATCCTAGCTACCCACGAGGCTGAGATCTGAGCATTGCAGTTTGAAGCCAGCTCAGGTAGGAAAGTCCTTGAAACTCTTATCTCTAGTCAGCCATCAAAAAGCTGGAAGTGGAGCTTGGGGTTTAAGTGGTACAGCACCAGACTTAACAAAAAGCTAAAAGACAGTTTTCAGTACCCAAACAGAAACACACAAACTGAAAACAAAACAAAACAAAACATAAAACCTATCCCAAACCCATCTTTATTTAACAATTAAATGAGGGACTATTAGTAACTTGCACCAAGCTCCAAATGTGTAAACCATACATTGTTGTACAAAACACCCTCTGTCTTGACTCAGTTATAAATTTTGTAAAACACACCTTGACATGATAGTCAAGTACCCAGACTCATAAATGATATCACGGAGCAGAGTACACATTCTACATGGGAAAATCCTAAACAATACCAATCACAAATTCTTACCGGGGTAGGTGCCGAATGTCTCCAGAATATCGTTCGTATTTGTAGTTTACTACATACCACTGGGAACTATAAAATTTACAAGCCTGAAAGAAAACAGAGAGATAATAATTAAAAGAAAGAAAATTTATCATTAAAAAAAAATCAAGCCGGTTGCCGGTGGCTCACGCCTGTAATCCCAGCTACTCAGGAGGCTGAGATCTGAGAGTCGAGGTTTAAAGCCAGCCCAGGAAGAAAAGTCCTTGTGAGACTCTTATCTCAATTAACCACCCAAAAACTGGAAGTGGTGCTGTGGCTCAAGTGGTAGAATGTTAGCCTTGAACACAAAGAGGCTCAGGAACAGTGTCCAGGCCCTGAGTTCAAGCCCACAACTGACAAAAAAAAAATCAGCTGTGCTGAATTTTGTACTTGTTCTCATCACCTCCTACTGGTGGTTAAGATGGCTTCATCAGCCATTTTAGAGTAGAAAAGGTTCTTGCTCTTCATAGCAATTTTTACATTTCTTTCCAGTGACATAGAAGTCTAAGCTTTTCCCAGACTCATGGAGGAGGAACCACTTACTACGTCTGTTCTATTTTAGTCCATCAAGGAAATCCTAATATAATCAGCCACTGAATCATACCAGATCTACTGCTAACCACAGAAACCATTATTCTTCAGTTTTTCCAGGCCACCTCTTCCATCATTTGACAGCTCTCAGTGGAGGACGTTTTAATTTATGTGTTATCCTCTTGTAATCATTTCATCCCATGTGTTCTGGTTCTGGATTCGATTCTTCTCCTCTTCTTTTCTATTTTAGAATTGGGATTTGAACTCAGGACCTCAGACTTGCTCAGCTTGCTTGCTACACTGGTGCTCTACCATTTGATACATGCTCCAGCCTTGATTTCTTCTTCTAGGTATTTTGGAGATGGAGTCTCTCTGGCTTTTCTGTCCTTACTGGCCTTGAATTGTGATCCTCCAGACCAAAGATTCCTGAGTAGCCAAGATTATAGATAGACATGAGTCCCAGAGGTGCTTAGCTCATCTATTTTGTTTCATATCATTACCCTTGTTATCTCCATACCGGCGTTTCCCTTTTATCTCAGGCCTCCTAAAGCTTCTCCTTGAGTAAAACAGGTTGGATAAACAGATGTAAAGATATAATCACTGAAAACCGTTTTAGAACCAAAGCTACTAGCCTGAAATAAACCCTATCATGGAACAAGATGGCTGAATTTATAATGTTCATTGACAGCAAATATTTTCAAATACTGTACACTTAGACCAGAAGTTTGCAATAACGATTGCTCTAGAGTGCTTTGCAGAATCATTTTCATGCTAAAAATCACATGATTCTTGGGATTTTTACAGATGTCCATTAGGATTATAAGAAGACCTTGTCCTCTTTCAGCAGTGGAGAAAATAAAGAGCAACAAACTTAATTGTGCTGTGAGGAATAAAATGCTGTGGCTGTCTTTGTAACCACAAAGAGATGGGCAAGGGACAGATCTGTACAGCAAGAGCAAGGACAGGGCTTTTGCCAAATCTAAAGGACGAGGTGGCCCACTGGGCATCACAGATAGCTGGATGGGGAGCACAAGTCCTGGGCATGTGACTCCAGATGCATGAGACAGAAACAGAATGAGGATGCTGGCTAGGAGTCTTTGCTGATCTGTTTTGCTAGTCTTGAATTATCTCTGTACCATAGTTTTATTTGTCCAGGAAAATGCCCATAGACACAATGGGTAATGAGGACCACACAAGGAAGACAAGGACAGAGGCAGAAGTAGGAAGATGGCAGCGAGGGCCAATGAAGGCTAAAACAGAGCTGACCTCCTGAAAGCTGGGAGTAGAATAGAGTATATCAGATGCTGGGAGAGTAAGGGCCAGGGAAGGAGGTACAGAGGAAGACCATGGTATGAAGGCTGTAGTTTGAGACGTTAGAAGATCTGGGGTGCTATTGCAGAATAGAGGGGTGATAGATAATCATGGGCTGCTTTTATTTTTAAAGCTGATGAAAAGGATCTGGAATATTGTCACCATAAAAGACGAATCATAAGTGTTTGAATATTAGGTATATTTACTTCGATTTGAGTATTATACAATGTGTACAGATATTGAATTAACCCAGTAATTCCTCAAATACACTTTCTGGCATAGCTTTTAATCAGTAGATAAGTGACAGAATGACAAACATAAAGTTTTCCCTCTCTGCCCTTTTTTCCTCCAAGATAGCAACAAGATAGATAAACTTGAAGAAAAATAGTTTTTGTGAGTCTGGCTTACTTCACTTAATATCATTTTTTCCAAGTCTTTCAATTTCCTTATGAATGTATGATATCTTTCTTTCCAGTGGAGGAATAGAATTCCCCTTTGAATATATACCACATAGGCTGCATGTTTCCCCTCATTTGTGGTAACTAGACTGTACCTATAAATCTACAATTAAACACACTGGATGGTAAAAGACAAAAAAATACACAGGAACATTAGAAGTTATACAGGTCTCTAGATAGTCACACAGTGAAACCAAAGGAGGATGTTATTTGGAGAGGATCACAAAGGCTTAATAGCTAAAGGCATATGATCATATAATATTTATCGAAATGAATTCTAAAAAGTGGAAATGAGTTTTTTAAAAAATAATTTGTTGCTGCTTTTGTTTTCTGTAATGTTTGTCTTGTTTTTTTTTAAGTTGATTTGTTTTGGGAGATTAAGGGGTGCACAGGAACGGCGAGACAAAGGATGAACAAATGCAGCAGTGATAGTCACTAGACACTATGGTGAAGATGAACCATACAACTTGTAGGTGGGGACAGGAGAGAGCAAGGGAAGGGGTGATGTTGTTCAAAAAGAAATGTACTCATTTCCTGAGTTATATAACTGTAACCCCTCTGCAAATCACCTTAATATTACCAATACCTATATATATATATTAAAAGAAAGAAAAATAGCAAAAGGGAACTCAGGATGGGAGAATGACCATTAGAATGGATGAGAAATTGAAATAAAATGATGCAATTGTCATTCTTTCTGATGGAGGCATAGAATTCCATTGGGTATATATACCACATTTTCTCTATCCATTCATCTACTGAGGAGCATCTGGGTTGGTTCCATATCTTAGCTATGGTAAATAATGCTGCAATAAACATGGTTGTGCTGGTAGCTTTAGTATGGTCTTGTTTGCAATCATTTGGGTAAATGCCAAGTGGAAAGACGGAAAAAATTATATTAAGTGAAGTAAGCCAGGCCCAAAGAAACATAGGTCCCATGGTTTCCCTCATTTGCAATAACTAGTATATGTCTGAATAAAGCAGAAAAAGTCAGATACGTTGATGTTAGGGGAATGAACCCCAAGATAAGTATTCAAATTTTTTTTTCTTTCATGGGATTGTTTCTAACATATTTATAAGATGATTTCTATATTGCTTTGTGTGTCCCTCCCCCATGGTGTAACTCCTACTTTCACTGTATTTGATGTTGGTATAATTTGTGGAGGGGAAGGGCAAAAACAGATCGTTTAAGTAGGGATACAGGTGGACCCATGGCAACAATGAGATGTACAAGTCATTATGTCGAAAAATGAACTTTACTATGGTAAATAATGCTGCAATAAACATAGTTGTGCTGGTAGGTTATTTACCATAGCTAAGATCTGTAACCAACCCAGATGCCCCTCAGTAGATGAATGGATCAAGAAAATGTGGCATATATGCACAATGGAATTCTATGCCTCCATCAGAAAGAATGACATTGCCCCATATAATCCCTGCTTTCACTGTATTTGATGTCGGTATAATTTGTGGAGGGGAAGGGGAAAAACAAGTCGTTTAAATAAGGATACAGGTGGACCTGTTGCAACAATGAGAAGTACAAGTTGTCATGTCGAAAACTTGGGGGGGGAGGATTAGGTGGGGGGAGGGAGGATGGGAAGGGTAAACAAAGGAGGAGGCTACAATGCTTGATAAGAAATGTACTCACTATCTTGCCCATGTAATTGTAACCCCTCTGTACAGTAATTTCACAATAAAAAAAAATAAAAAAAATGAACTTTACAACTTTGGTGGGGGGATCAGGTGGGGGGAGTTGGGGGGAGTATGGGAAGGGATGATAAGGGGAAACAAAGAGAAGGCAACAATGCTTGATAAGAAATGTACTCGTTATCTTGCCCATGTAATTGTAACTCCTCTGTACAGTATTTTCACAATTTCAGTTAACTGAAATTAAGCAGACTGCCTGGACAATTCTCAAACCAATCCTGCAAAGAATGCACTTCTGGACATAAAATAATTGAGTTTTACCAGGCTCTTTGTCTAAAATGTTGTATCTTTACTTTAGACTAAAAAGGGTCCAGACAAGAAGCAGAGACGCCTAAAGGGTGTCCAGCCACAGAGGTAGAACTTCAAGGGCTGCCCTTCTTGTTCTCCCGCCTTTCTCCTTTCCTTTTCTCAGCCTTCCTGTGATTTTTCACATGAAGGAAAATATACATTACAATGGAAAACAATATACACATATTTGAAAACTCATACACACACACACACACACCATCAAACTAACTCAGTATAGTAACACAGGGGTGGATTTCCATGTTGTAACAATCAAGTTTAACAAAATGAAAGAATACCAGCAAGCTCAAACGTTTTGTCTGAAAGGGTGTGATATAGAGGATGGAGGTAGAAGAATGGAGAGAAGAAGGGTGGGTAAATATGTTTATGCTACTCAATGTACATAAATGAAAATGGAACTAGGAAATTGAGGGCATGGGTGGGGTTGGTAGAGATGAGGGAGAAGGATGGAAGGGGTGATGCTGACAACTTATATCGTATCCATAAACTGGCATATTAAATTGAAACCTCTCTGTACAAATACTTAAAGGTATAATAGTAAAACAATAATAATAAATACAAAATGGAAAACAAAAGCCTAAAGCCCACTCCCTGTTTGTATTCTTCTTCAGATTTCCCTTATGCACAGTTTACCCAGTTCCCCTCCAAGTATACATTTGTAAAAGGCGAAAGATTTATACGATCTGAAGAGAAACCAGAGTATCCAAGTATACATTTGTATATGAACATTATTTTTAATATAATGTTATTGTTAC